CCCCAACCAGGTCCAGAGCTCTGGATTGGATCGTGGCCATCTGAAGCGGCCGGATCAGATCGCTGCCAACTAGCACAGGCCTAGTAGATGGGCTTTTCTCTGTGGTCATGCAGGCAGAACTTGGAACAGTGGCCTCCAGCTGCAGCAGGGGAAATTTAGGTTGGGGATTAGAAGGACTTTTCTGACTATGAGGGTGGTCAGGCACTGAAACAGTATACCTATTAAAGTTGTGGAATCTCTACGCCCAGAAATTTTCAGGAGCAGGTTGAGCAGACACTTGGCTAGCATGGTTTAGTCAGGGATGATCTGCCTTGAGCAGGTAGCAGGATAAGATGACTTTGTCCTTATAGGACCTTTCCTTTCCAGCCTTATGTGCCTACAGTCCTACATTTGGGATCGGATGGATTCTCTGCTTGGGATTACATGATTTCATATAGACATAACATTTGATCCATTTTTCTGTATTCTGAATCTGCTGCCCATTACGAGTTGTTCCTCATCTTCTACTTTTCATTTAAATATGTCTTGTTCAGGTGTTAAGAATAACCAGCTGACTTCAAATAAAATGGTTAATCAATCATACAAACAAGCAACCGCTGCCTACTTACAAAGAAACCAAGTGATAGTACAGTGCATTTGCAGATGTTCCCAGATGCGCAGAATTGCAGGTCACCATCTTTTAAATACTGAACACAGGCATTGTCATACTGCACTACACTTATAGACTGTCGTTAACACTGATCAATATCAGGTCTTTAACTGGACAGTTCAAGGACCCTGGAATACTTGAATGATAGCTTATAGGAAAAGTGTTTTTCCTAATCTTTTTCAGTTAATGGCTGTCTAATATCCTGAAGTACAGGCATTTATAACTTATGCATGTTATTTGTATTGTCCAGACAGCTGCCTGATCCTTAGTGTTTATTTTCTGATTAGTAATATCAGTGACATGCTGACTATAATTGAGTTTAGCCTTTGACAGGGCAAATGCTTGGCACAAAATTTGAAGCATAATTGATAAAATCAGGTTCTATTATATTTCATGTTAATGCTTTATTGCCAGAGTTCAAAAAAGTGTAAGGCACAAATGCCCAGTGAAACTATGTAATGATTATATCACTGAAGCCATCATATTTACAACACAGACAAAAACAGAGACACTTAAACACCATTTTCCATAAATGCTCTCTGACAGAAATAATATGTTGACAGTTCAGGACCTTTTGGGTGATGTCCTTTTCTAAATCAATAAGTCTCAGTACAGAGTGGTATTTTTTATACCTAACATTTTAAACAAATCAAAACATTTTGGGGGATTTTATTTATTGCTGACACAACCATGATTAAATTAATAAATGGTAAGTGAACAGCCACCTGAGACATTAGCCTTTCTGTCTGTGCTTTGTATTTGAATAGTAAAATCACAATAATGAACTCAAGAGTGCAACTAGGTATCAACTTGCAACATTTTAATAACTATTTGTGATATACCAGTCTAGGAGCACATTTTTCTGTGATTTTTCATTTTGAAGAACATTAAGCTCACAATTGTAGAGTAACACACATGTAGCATGCAATTACTCCAAGTGGTTAGCTGTGCAAGACAACAAGGGAAGAGACACGTTAAATATACCTTGTAGGCCTTCTGATGTGCGATAAGGAAAACAAACAGATGTTTCATTAGATTTGAGATTTTCCCTTGAAATGTGAAGGGAGCATTTGATTGTTTTATGTAAAGGTTAGAAGCAGAATTTAATGGTAGGTTTATACTGCAGAGATTCTCTCAAGGTTATTTGTAGATCAAAAGGTCAAGGTAAATATATGGAAATTTGACATTGCTGTGATATTAGCATACTAACAGATGCATTAAGGTCTGTGATTATTTAAAACTTAAAACAGTATTAATCCACCAAATGGTCATACTATGTCTGGATCAAATATTGAATGATTGTACCTGATCTTTGGGTCCAATATCTGTTACAGATGTGGGCCAAATTCTAGTGAAACAGATGTTTTATCCATGTTTAACATTCCAGGATCTAGTTTCATCTCTATTGGCATTCAGATAAATGCTCAAAGATGTCTATAGGATGTGGGATGCAACATGATGGCCACTGTCCTTCATACTACCATAAACATGCTACAAATTCTTCTCTGAATTACTTTCGGATAGATTTCATGTTTAGAATTAGATAACTACCCACACAATTTAGAAAAAAGAAAACTGTGAAGAGAATTCAAAAGCATTACTTGTTTTTAAAGCATGTGCTTTAGTATCTATTGTAAACCTGAAAATACACAGCTCAGAGAATATGTGAATATTGCATCCTGCAGTCATGCACGTGGTCACAGACCGCTTTTAAGATAACAAGCTAATATTGTAGATCATTGACTTAGCTTAGAAACTGTTGCAATACTAGTGGAGACAGTATGCATATTTTAGAAAATTTTGATTGGATTCTAATGTCTTATTTTTTTCAGGCTCCTTAAAATTTTATCTGGATACAATAAAAATGATTTATAGGAGAGAAACAAAGCCCATACACATTTTTATTACCTATATCTGATCACCATTGTGGAGTAAATTATGAAAATAAAGCAATAGATGTGTTTTCCAACATTTTAGAAACCATAAGACATTAAAATCCAATCAAAATTTTCTAAAATGAGAGGAAGAAAAGATTGGAATTATTTATTTTAGAGAGATTAGTAAAATTTGTATAAGAAAGCCTGTAGAAAATAATGACTGGCATAGATAATAGTTCTCATAATGATACCCTCATAAGGCAAGAACTAGGAGGGAGCCAGTTTCAAAATTAATAAAAGGAAATACTTTTTCACACAACCCACAATTAGCTTTTGGAACTCTGCTACCGAAGATGAGTGAGACCATGGACTTTAGTAGATTCACATGAATATACAAACAACAACAACAGGTCACAATAGTTAAACGTACATTTTTAAAGAATTTTGGAAGGTCTGTAAACTGTCATGCTTTACCGCATAAACCTGCCTCTAACAATGGATGTCAAGAGAAAAATGTCTCAGAAGTAGGATATCCCAGTCTTCTTCTGAAGCCTCTGGTACTAACCACTGTCCATGACAGGATAATGGATTAGACAAACCTCTAATTCAATCTACTATAGCAATTCCTTTCTCCTGCAACGTAAACAAGTATTTCTATAGGAAACTGAAGCTATCATTTTCTTTAGGGGTTTTAGGATAAACAGATACACAAATATCCACAGTAACATTAGAAAATGACTCACTGAAGCACTGTCTCCACACTTCTTGCAGCTGTTGCAAAGCTATCTAAGTAGTGTTTGACATTTTATTCTTTGAATATTTTAATTTGAAACTGCTGGGTAGCACAAGGCAGAATGACCCAAGGCACTAGAAAATGTAATCAATGGGTTTTGCATATTGGAATAATATATATGATATTGATATACATTATATTTTCACATATTATTTGGAGCCTTCTCATCAATCAGTGATGTGAAATGTTTCTATCCTGCAGTGTAGCACACGCCTACTTTCCTTCAGTAGGAAACATGTGGTCTTCTTTGATGAAATGACTGGCTCTGTGGATGTGGCGAGAGCATTCCATGTGATGCACATTGAGTTTAGCAAGGCTTTTGACATGGTCTCCCACAACATTGTCCAAGGAAATATGGGTTGGATGAATGGACTGTAAATTGGATAGAAAACTGGCTGGATCATCAAGCTCAAAGGGAGCAATCAATGGCTTGATGTCTAACTCAATGGCAGCCAGAATCAAGTGAAGTGCCCCAGGGGTCTATGCTGAGACCAGTTTTGTTCAATATCTTCATCAACTATCTGGAAAATGGGATGGAGTGCACCCTCAGCAAGTGTGCAGTTGACACCAAGCTGGAGGGACTAGTACATACAAAGCAGCTTTGCAGAAAAGGACCTGGGGGTTACAGTGGTCAATAAGCTGAATATGAGCCAACAGTGTGCCCTTGTTGCAAAGAAGGCTAACAGCATACTGTAGGAGCATTGCCAGCAGATCAAGGGAAGAGATTATTCCCCTCTAATTGGCACTGATGAGGCCACATCTGGACTCCTGTGTCCAGTTTTTGGCCTCCCACTACAGCAAGTATGTGGACAAATTGGAGAGAGTCTAGTCGCTGGTGGGAATTCAGCGTATTGAGGTGGGTGTCTCTCTGCTTTGTATAAATATTGATTCAGGCAGAGAGAAAAAGAAAAAGTGAAGGGTTGACACCTAAATATAGTACTGTACTTTTTAAATATCATCCTCATTATTTTGTAGGGAACTGCTTTTATAGGGTACCTGGGTTTGCCTAAATGTCTGTTTAGGCTGTCAGATCCCTTCACAGCGTAACTACTTCTTAAGCCCCTGAGAAAATCAGAATAAGGAATTACCACCCTACCAGCTGGTGCTCATCTGAGGCTTCATTAGGAGAGAATACTTTGAGCTCCCCTCTGAGGGATAGAAAGAAAGAATGGAGATTAAATTGGGAAAGATCTGTACCCTACAAGGTATTGTGACCCCTGAAAGCTGGGAGAAATAGGGTTCTTGAGGAGTTCTCAGGAACCCTATCACATTCTTACAGCTATTGGACCCTTGACTCAAGAATCTCCCTATTATACATCACCAACTCTAGTTTAAACTAGACATTTAACAAGTCAGGATTCCCTACTGGTTTCAGAAGTACCCACAACAGGGTTTTGCCACCCTGGGGTATTCATTAGTTTTGAGGACAGATGTGAACAGAGTACCTGGGTATTTTTAGAACTGACAAACTTGGTAAATTCCTTACTGGATTCAACAATTTCAGTAGAGAAGAGAACAGAATAGGTAGGATAAAGCTAAATGGCTTTTGGGCCCCATAACTTGGGTCCATATATCCTCAGGAATGGGCAGGCTGCCTGACTGAACAAACAAAGACTGTTTTCAACTCAATTTTCTTTTCACAGCTGTAAAATCTTTGTTCTTTTTATTCTTCCTTCCTCAGTTTGTGGTGATAGTCAGTATTATAAATTTCAAACCTCTGACATATGACGACTACACCTTCCCCCTCTGGGCAAATCGCATTGGCTGGGGAATAGCATTATCTTCAATGATACTTGTGCCTGCCTATATTATTTATAAATTTCTGAATGTTCGTGGGACCTTTAAAGAAGTAAGTGGAATGCTAATAAAATGTCATGAAATGTTGTTATGAAATTAAATTACTGGATCTAAGCCAGAAGTTCTTTCCTCCAGCTCCCCAAACATATTACTTGTTATGTGACCTTTCCGATCCAGCTTTCTAACTGGTTGGAGTTTGAAGCAAGGATTTAGCACACCCTGTTCCAGGTTCTAGACAGATATTGCTTACCAGAAAGAACCCCTATAGTTCAAAAACACATTTATTGATTTATGCACACTTTAAATTTGGTTGCCAAGTTGCTTTCTATTGTAAGGGCGGGGTAGGGGGAAAGCATACAAATGGATGTTAGCACCCGCAACAAAGAGCATTCATTGAGATGCTTTTCCAGGGCAGAATTTGGCCTGGGATAAAGGCTCTGATTCTACATGGGAACATTATGGACTTTTGAAAATAGGGCCACTTTACTAAGAGCCTTAAATGAGATCAGAAAACTTATATCTCCAAATCCTTATTATATATATGAAAGAGGAGCTGCAGTCTGTAGCCCAGACTGTTAAGGTCCCATTATAAGACCCCGTCTTGAGTTGTTCATAATTTTGCTGAAGTGCAATTTTTTGGCTGATATTTTACACATTGGCCATCTGCCATCTGCTGCAGGGAGACTTAAAACAATCATCCAAAATAATGCAGCACTTTTTGAAGAATGCAGTTAGTGGGAAAAAATGTGTCTTACCCACATCAGAAACATTTCTAGTGACAATTTTTTAATGAAAGACTTTTGACTCAGGGACCTAGGCAGGATAGCTAATCTGGGTGTTTGAAATGTGACTTTGGTTGTCCTCCTGGGTACCTGCCCAACTTTTGCCAACTGGTAAGACTATGAAATGTTACAAATGTGCACATTCACATTAGCGATCTTTAGATTTTAACAGTTAAATTCCCTAAAAATTGTCTGAACATACTCCAGCCCCAGGCTGAGCGGGAATTTCCCTGTAGTCACAGCTCTGGACTTCTTAGGCCATGCTCAGTCTGGGGCTAGACACGAGACACATGTGAAGCGGCAAGTGTTTACTTTGGATTCAGGTTCGGCTGATTCGGGGGACAGTGATTCGACTCGGTGATTTGAATCACTGTCCCAAATCGATTTGGCCAAATCTGATCCGGAGATTTGGCTGCTGCCAAATCTCCGAAACACCCAGGCCTATTCCCTTACCCACTCTCCCAGTCTGGCAATAGCTGCCCCGCCTGCCCCAGCTCCTGGCACTTGGAAAAAAAAAAGCCTGGACTCACTGCCAGGGGGCAATCCCTGCTGCCCCCCACTGCCCCACAATGTGTGGAGGTCTCTGCATGAGCCCCACCCCCCACCCATGGTTGCCCCATCCACTACAGCTACGGCCCTTTAAGAAAAAAAACAAGAAAAACCCCAGGACTCCTCATTCCTGCCTGGCAGAGGGGCGATCCCCACTGCATGAGCCCCCCAAAGCCCTGAGGCCACTGCAGGAGTGAAGAGTCCTGTGGCTTTTCTCTGTTTTTTTCCCCTTAAAGGGCTGAAGCTGGGGTGGGTGGGGCACCCATGGGGAGGGGCTGGGGAGCAGAGGTGGGTTGGGGGGCTCATTACAG